CTCTCTCTCTCTCTCTCTCTCTCTCTCTCTCTCTCTCTCTAATAAATAAATAAATTAAAAAAAAAACTTAAAAGGTGGTCGCTCACTCTGTGACATTTCCATCCTCTTGTATTAATTCCTAGACTTTCTTGGCGCTCAGTTTTGCTTTACTACTAAGTCACTATTTGTTCAGTGAGTCTTATATTTTTAAACCTGAGAATGTAAAAGGCTTTCACCTGTTGCCCCTTTGTCATCCCTCCTTTTATTAATAGGCCTGTAACTTACCTATTACCAAGAGAAGTAAAACAGCTGATCATCAGAATTCGGTCCCCAGTAAAGGTTTAACCCAGCATATTGATAAGTGTTTTGATAAGAATGAAGGAAGGATTTTGGGGGAGAGAAAGTCACCAGCTTTTTATTTCTCTTTCTCTTTTAAACCTCAATTTTAAGTAATTCAAAAAAAGAAAGAAAAAGTATCTGAATTTCTTTTCCTAAATTTAAACCATAATGATGAGGTGACTTGGGGTACAGTAGGGGTGGAGTAGAAGGCTGGGTGTGCTAGAATAAATGGGAGTCATAACTTGACTTTGACTGGATGACCCCATATTTTCACAATCTTGTAGCTTGTGGCTATCTTTGAACACATGCATCATACAGTAGACACTTTCCTTTACTGTGTGCATTTTTACTGTACACTGTATATAGAGTATCTGTTAAGTAAAATATATATATGTAAATTTATGTCCTTGTGCTCTGAATGTTAGATGGAAAAGCAGAGGAGCAACACTACACTGTACTGATCCCTGGGAAAAAAAAATGATTCATGTACATAGGATGTTACTTTTTCAAGGATGAGCACATCTGTATTTTTATATGTGTGTGGTGTGAAATTTTGAAATTTCCTATCGGCTTCAGAAAGTTCTTGGTTATCGCTGTATCAAGGATTTTATTTATTGAGGTAACGACTATTTGTCAGAGTAGAAATTATTCAATAAGAAGCTTAAAGCCATCAGGACTCTAGATTTACTTAGCTATCAGAAATAAAAATCTCATATTCTGATCATCCTTTCCCTTCTACGTATTTTCCTGGAACGAAGCATCAAAACCAGGGTCGTTTTTGCATTCATGTAATTTTCTCTTCATAATAATAACTTCTTTCTAGGTTATTATTACGTTAATGAAAGCACTGAAGTGAAATAAGCTCACAAGAGAGGGAAAAATTAGAATGGGGAACCTAGAATAAGCGATCTTTCTCCTTACTCCTCCATCCTCTTTAATGAAATTTTCTTAATGTCTGTGGCTCAGTCAGTATAT